AGCGTAACCATTTATAAAAAGCGTTTTTCCGAAATTTGAATTCTTATTTATTCAAAAACTTGTTAGTTTCACTTTGATTTTTTTAAACACAAGTAGGGTAACTCTGTTCGCAAAGGGTGCGCATTTGCGAAGAGGGCGCCACCGAATTTTGAGGACACTTTTTTAATAGGCTCAAAGAGAGGAGTGGCCCCTCTTGTTATGTAGACTCTTTGCTAACATATGGATATTGGGAGACTGGTGTTTACAAAGTGGTTCTATTTATAACCTCTTTTAGTCTTTGGGTGTTTGACACTTCATTTAGGCGACTTTGGTGGGCGGGCTTTGCAGCGATGTTTTTGCAGATGGCGAAAAGCGGCAGCCATAACATTTCACGGTCTAGGAATATTATGATTCAAGTAATATTATGTACTCTGCTTCCAAAAGTCCTGTAATTTATGCAAATTTTTATATTTCACGTGTGAGATATCAGCTTAGTCTGTGAAATATAAGGATTTATTTTACCAGAGGTGCAATGCTAAAACAACCTCAAGTATGGTATAAAATATTATCTTCCGTGTGTTAACATCTGTTGTCTCATAAACAGTTAGTACCGGATTATTCAAACTGTGAGTCATCTTGTATAATTCACCCTTACATTTTCATTTTCATTTTCATTCTTTCAGGAAGCAACATCCTTGCATTCCGGAAACATCCATTGATGATCCGTTGCTCTCTCCAAAATGTCGCTGAGGGTCTTTCTAGTGGTTGTGCTAGTGTATAAAGCAACTGGTACGACTGGTTCTACGAGACTCACCGACGGAGACGACAGTACGTGCGAAAATGTCGACTCGGGGTCTCCCCCAACAGTCCAAACTGGGATAGATTTGGTTGAACGTTCTTCTGTTCCCTCCTGCAAGGGTGCCAGATTTTCTTCTTCCTTTCTGTACTCTCCGCTTACAAATAGATTAGAATATTTTTCAGCTGAAAGTGTAGTGTTAATCAAGGTGTGGGATGATAGGATAGTGAATAACACAGGTTTGATTAGAACATACTTACCGCCACTGATGTGCACAGAACAAATGGACGTCTGACCAGACACTGATAGGGTCACGCTGTCTATGGTGAGGGTGGAATTCTCACATCGGATGTCCACGACGTTTTCACTGACCTTTGATTTCAAGATGTTGGAGCACGGGACTGTCTGACTATCTTTCTTAAACTCCACAGACACATCGTGAACTGTTGATGGATAGAGAAAACGTCTTTTTGATTGTCACGTTCTGAAAATGAGAGACGGATTTTGTTATGTTGTGTGTGTGTGTATGTGTGTGTATTTGTGTATGTGTACGGGTGCATGTTTGTAAGAAAGAAAGAAAAAGATATGCAAGTGTGTGAGTGCAGGTGCGTGCGCATGTGCGTGAGTGTATATATAAGTATGCGTGTGTTTGTGCGTGTGTGTGTGTGTGTGTGTGTGTGTGTGTGTGTGTGTGTGTATGTCTGTTTACGTGTCGTGTCGGGTCAGTCGGTCAGTCAGTAAGTTAATAGATAAGTAGTTAGGTAGGTATTTAGGTAGGTAGGTAATTAGGTAGGTAGGTAAATAGGCAGGTAGGTAGGTAGGTAGGTAGGCAGGCAGGCAGACGGGCAGGCAGGCAGGCAGGTAGGTAGGTAGTTAGGAAGTAGGTAAGTGGGAAGGTAGGTAGATAGGTCGGTATGTAGGTGGGTGGGTGGGTAGGTAGGTATGATTTATACTTATTCTAAAAACAATTTTTTTTTTATTTCTTCTCTGGGATAAAATTAAGTACTCATACCTTTGGTATCCCCAATAATTCTCATCCATGTAAATCTGAAATATATCCCAGTTTGGACTGTTGTGGGATACCCCGAGTAGACATTCTCGCACGTACTGTCGTCTCCGTCAGTGAGTTTTGTAGAACCAGGCGCACCAGTTGCTTTATACGCTAGGTCACCTGGGGGAAAGTAAACAACATAATGGGACAATCAGAAATCTCTGGCGTCGTTCATGAACAGGCAGGAGTTTCCAAAATAACCATCATGATCAGGGTGCTTTGAGAAAACAACGATTCTTGAACAAATAGGAGACAGTAGTAATTAAGCGCTCATCGGCGAAACACATCTAAAAGAGGAGAAACTCTCTTTACTTTCCATGTTCATATTTCTTTGAGTGGTAATTCTGTTTTGTTGGTGGTGGTGTTGGCGTTGTTGGTGCTGTTATTGTTGTTGTTGTTATTGTTGTTGGTGGTGGTGGTGTTGCTGTAGTTATTGTTGTTGTTGTTGTTGTTGTTGATGGTGGTGGTGGTGTTGTTTTTATTGTTATTGTTGTTGGTGTTGTTGTTGGTGTTGTTGTTGTTGTTGTTGTTGTTGTTGTTGTTGCTGTTGTTGTTGTTGTTATTGCTGTTGTTGTTTTTGTTGTTTTTGTTGTTTTATTGTTGTAGTTTTTTGAGTAGTATGTAAACGTCTTAACCGCTTTTTTCTTTCCTTCCTTGTTATTATTTTTACCCTGGGACTATGAGTCTGTTATTGATTCACATCCATTCTTCTCCTTCTTTTTCTTCTTCTTCTTCTTCTTCTTCTTCTTCTTCTTCTTCTTCTTCTTCTTCTT